TAGTCAGAGACCTGGTTTCATTCAACACTGCCAGAATCCCAATATCCCCAAGACTCTTGGAAACTTGAGTGGGGAGGGTTGTGGCAGACATTCAGAGTGACCCTCTTGTACTTTGTCCCCCCCTAAGCAATTGCTCAGCTTTCCAGTGTTGGCCATGCCAGGTGCTCATGTAGAAACAGAGTACTTCCTGCAGAGCCCACCCAGAATCTCAGTTCCAGAAGCGGGGCCTGTGTGGGGCCATGAACTGAGCTGAGATGGGCTAGTTGGTGACTTCCCTAAACCTTGCTTTTCCCATTAAGATTTGGCTGGCAAGTCTTTCCCTACATCCCCAAGGACTTCTGTGAGGAGCATTCATTCACCCCTTCATTTATGAAAAAGTTTTAGAAATGGTTCTGAAGGTCAGGGCTAGGCACTGTACTAGGAGCTGGGAGCGAATGTGTGCATGGGTGACAAACTGATGTGCTGTACCAAAGTAAGGGACTCCTCAGGATCACTCCACACTGGGTACTCTCTTAGCCCTTAATCTCTGTTCCCCATGCCTGACCTTCCCTTTCTGCCCTTACCCAACCTCTCAACTCCTGTGGTCTCACATCCTGCCATCTTCAGGAATCCGTTTGGCCATGCCCTCATTCCAGCTAGCTTCTCTCTTCACTAGGGCACTTCTGTTTCCATTCTGATAGAGCCTTGCTGTTTCTCACCTCAGGGTCTGCATATGCCATTTCTTTGGTCAGCATGCCTTTTAACTATGCCACATGCCCAACTTCAGCTCATTTGTCACCCTCTGATGAGGTTTCCTTCTCTCCAGCCAGGGGCTGCCTGGGCCTGAGCTATCTGGGCGCTAGGGAGCCGTGCCTTAGCAAGTGTGACTGATGACGTCAGCAGAGTGGAAGGAGGTCTCCTTCTGCCTGGTTGGGCACAAAGGGAGTACTGATGTGGATGGATGAGGAAGGACAGATAGGGCAAGGTGCTGTGCTGGGTGCACCCTGGGGTGGAGGTTACAGGGCTGGGGACTATCCCTGCAAAGCTCAGATCATGGTTCTCCTTTACAGCTCTGAGGATCAGGCACACACAGTAGCCCTGGGAACAATGGAATTTAGGAGCTATGGGTGCTATACACATATTACCATTTCAGTAGTGAGCTGGACTAACTTGTAAGGGGCCAATTTGTATACCAACCTCACTCCACATTCAGTGACTAATATTAGCATGCAGCTTTGTACCAGGAGAATCAACCAATGCTACTAACCCAGGCAGTGTGGCCCCAGCCCATTGCTAAACATCAGCATGCCATTCACTATACATCATTTGAAAGTATGTCTTTAGGGTTGGTGAAATGGCTCAGTGTATAAAAGCACTTGTGTGACATCCTGAGTTATATTCACAGAACCCATGTAAAGGTGGAAGGAGAGAACTGATTCCACAAAGTTGTCCTCTGACCTCCACACGTGTGCCATGGCATGTGCATACCCCCTTTTCACACAGGCACAGTAATAGTAAATAAATATTAAATAAATATTAAATTTTAAAAAGAATGTCTTTGAGCTTTCTTTCTATTTCCACATTCACATATACTAACTTTAAAATTGTGCTTGAGGAGGAGAGTGATTGAAGGAGACACTTGATGCAACCTCTGAGTTGCATGCACGTGTATATATCTGTGCAAACATCTGACACCTATATACATATGCACACATCAAATGCACGTGCACACACCCATGCAAACATGTACTCATGCCACACACACATCTTTATGAAGATTCCTTCTTCCTTCCTTTGTTCTTTCCTTTATTATTCTTTTTTTTTCTTTTAATTTATGGGGACAGGGTCTCACTTCATTACCTACACTGGCCTAGAACTCTCTATTTAGTCCCAGGTTTCCCTTGAACTCGTGACAGTCCTCTTCTCTGAGCCTGAGTACTGGGATTACATGAGTCTCCACGACTAGTTCAGCTAGAGATTAAGGGCAGAAGGTATTTTCATGAACGTGCATTTGAGATGCTGTCTGTTACTTCTCCATTCAAGTTCTATGTCTCACAAAAATTGCCTGGCTCAACTTCTTCATTACAGTCACGATATACATAAGAAAGATGGCAGGGAGCTTGTGACCCCAGGGTCACAGGTGTTGGGGATAGTCTCCAGTCCTTGCTAGCAAAGTTTTTTTTAGTGTGCATATGATTTATCCAAGGGGTCTTTTTAGTGTGCAGGTCATTTGTGGCCTTTGTGGTTATTTCTGTCAAGCTCCAAGATGCTGTCCATTCTCATTCCATGAACAACCTTTTGACTCACCAGTGGTTGTTGGTGGAAGAGGTCATGGGCATGCTTAAACACTCTTCTCTAGAAAGGTTGTCATGGGTCGTGCTCTGTCTTTTAGTAAGACTGCAGGAGCTCTATGTGTTCAATGTACAGTTATCCCTTGTTATCTGTGGCAATTAACTCTAGGGCTCACTGCTGATACTGAAATCCAGAGATGCTCAAGACCTTCATAGAAAACAGTGTCGTACATGCATGTAACCTTATGCACTTCCTCCTGTAGGTTTTGTGTTCTCCAGATCACTTACAATGCCTAATACAATGTAAATGATTTGTGAATAGCTGCTGTACCATATCGTTTAGGGAATAATGAGAAGAAAAAAGCCTTTATATGTTTAGTACAGGCATAGTTATTTTCAAATTGTTTGATCTATGGTTGTTTGAATCCAGGTGAACCATGAATGTGGAGGCCTGAGTATGTAGACTTGGACTTTTAGGTTTTGTTGAAGTAATTATTTACCCCAAAATTTGGATTTAATTTTAGTATATAGAATGAGGTTCAGTCAATTTGATTTTTCTTTGAACAGCTAAACCATTTGCTTCAACATAACTCACTGAATAGTCTCTTGATTTCAATAAATGTGTGAGACCTCGTTTATCAGTGTTTTCTTCCATAATGGAGAGCCTGTTCTTGGACTGTTTTTCATGACAGAGTTGTGGCAGCTTCAACACACTCTGTCTTTTTTTAATAAATATTTTTATTGAATTTTGTGCATTTTATACATCTTAATCATATTTAGACACCCTCCCTCATCTGCACCCTTCATAGACTACCACCCCCCATTTCGTGCATTCTGTCATATATGTTAAGGCCTATTGAGTCAAATTTGTGTCCTTAGATGTCCCTCTGTGTGAGTTCATCCACTAGAGCCTGGTCAGCCTATCTAGCTTCACACTGTTAAAGAAAACCAACTTCCACCCAGGGCTCAGGGACCATTGTAGAAGGGGGTGGAAAGCTTGTAAGGGCTAGGATGGTGGATGACCACCAGGAATTGGAGTTTTCCAGGCTTCTGGGAACTTACATAAACACATTCTCTCTTGACTGTTATCACCTAATTATGTAGATGAACTCTCATGTCATTTAATCGATAATAAAAAAATTATTGTTGTTTTGAAGTATATACACTTACACATAAGTTGGGAAAACTTAACCATTTTTAATTTTTAAAAATTAATTTGTTTTTATTTTATGTATATGAGTGTTTTGCCTGCATGTATATAAGTGTACCACATGCATGCAATGTTCATGAGAACCAGAAGAACTGGAGTTAGGGACAGTTGTTAGCTGCCATGTAGGTGTTGGGAACTGAACCCAGGTCCTTTGCAAGAGCAGTCAGTACTTTTAACCACTGAGCCGTGTCTCCAGCCCCCAAAGTTAACCTTTCAAAATAATAATCTTCTTCAATCATGAATGTATAATGTCTCTCCTTGCACGTTAGTCATTGCTGGAGTTCAGCAGCAACACTTCTCATTAAAGTTATTCCAAGATATTTGATGCTTCTTGCTCTTTTAAATAATTTTATAATATACTATATATCATAGTTTATATTAAGTTAGATTTTATATTTATAATATAGCCACTAGCCACAGGTAGCAATTTAAATTAATCAAAGCAAAATAAAATTTAAAATTCCATTTTTTCTCCATATTAATAACATTTCAAATGCCCAGGAACCATAGGTAGTTAGTAGGTACCTCACTGAAGCTTAGATAAGGGAACCCCTCAAAAAGGTGCTAAATGTTTCTGTTACACAGCATTTTGCTGTGTTACTATTGATACATCAGTATCTTGTTGACTTTAGACCAGTAATTTCAATTATTTTGGGTTGTCTAAGAAATTAGTGGTTTTTGTGTCAAACTGTTTCTTCTTCTACAGCACTATCAGACTACCTCCCTTCCTCTCTTTGAAAGCAAAGATGACCAATATATACCTGAAGGTTTGCCAGTCCCCACTTGTGCCCATAGCAGCCATTACTAATCAGTCACAGCCCTTCTGCTATTCCTTGAGTTATTGAAACTTTTTTCTTTAGTGTCCTGCTCTTCTCTGTGGAGACATGACGTTAATTACAGTGGGATGGGGAGAGGGGACTAAAACCCCTCTCCATGGTATAAACACATTGTTGAAAAAGTCTGAAGAGCCAACTGCCTGAGTCTTTCTTAAGACATGAAGGACCAGTTCCTTCCCCCTTCAGTATAGCAGTTTTCTCCCTAAGCTCCCAGACACATGGGGACTCTGCTAGTTCAGACCCAAGTTTGATAGCCTGGACTTGACCTTGACCAGCTTGGCCCTGTCAAGTTATCTTGAACAAATCAGTTTCCCTGCACAAAGTGCTAGTGTTGATGGAATGGTGAGGAGGGGACCTCTAGGTGGTATTCTGATTCTGCACCTCTGTCCTGGGAAACATGCCACTGTTTGAAGGATGGCTTAGAACCTGAGATAAGCAGCTTCCAAAGCCCCTAGCAGTGCCAAAGATTCTGGAGATGTAGGTACCTTCTGAATTATGGGCAGGCAGCCTTCTTGGGCTGTCTTGGGGGATTTCCATGGGAGCACCCTGTGGGCTCCTGGAGTGGGATCTGTAGGACACAAAGGCAGAGTTTGGGATCCAGACTCCATCACAGGAAGCCTGTAGGGCCATAGAAAGGGAATTGTGGCTGGCTGTGGACAGAGTCTCTTTGGGCCCCGGTGGGGGATGTGTTTCATGTGTGATCCCACAGGGCCAGACCTGTACCCTCTTGTGATTGATGTGGGTAAGAACTGCCGTGGGCTGGGTACCTGTGTAGTGTTTCAAGGGGATTCCACCTGTGGGGGTCCCCACAGTTTTACTATACATAGCCACTCATGTAGACCGTTGCCAAGGGTCTTGATGCCTGTGTTATATGTTGTGTTTACTAAGTTGTCTGTGCTGAGCCCTTGCTCGTATTATCTCACTTGAGGCTCACAACAACCCTGGAGTTGGGGAGATATTACCGTTTGCCGTCATTTGAGAGATGAAGAAGCTGAGGCTCAGGAAGTTTAAGTTACTCAGCTGTTGTTTCATAGGAAAGACCTCTCTGATTTGGTTTCTTAGTGTGGGAAGTGGGATTTGACAGGTGAAATGTGTGAGTACAGACCTGGAGCCTGACCTCAGGGCACTTAGAATTGAGCACAGTGTGGGAACCTGAATAGCTCTGAGGGCAAAGCTGGTAGGGGTGGGGGAGGGGGGTGGAGAGAGACTGCGCTGGAGATTCAGACTCTGCCACTTGCTCACTGTATGACCATCAGTGAGCCTGTTTCCTTATCTATAAAAGGGAATGGGAGGCTGCAGAGATGGCTCAGTGGTTAAGAGCATTGACTGCCCTTGCAGAGGACCTGGTTTCGATTCCCAGCACCCACATGGCGGCTATGAACTGTCCTTAACTCCAGTTCCAGAGCTATCCGAAGCCCTCTTCTGACCTCTGTGGCATTGCATGACATAGGTACACTCACATACATGCAGACAATATACTCATACACATAAAATAAAAATAATAAAATATTTTTAAAAGGGAGTGGAATCAATATGAGAGCAAAAGAATCATCATGTAGATCAAATCTATTGTGAATCGTAATACACAGAAAACCTGATCTCCAGCTGCATTGTCCCCAGCCTCAGCCCCATCTGGTGGAAACCTGGCAGGCACAGGTCTATTATGTGAGTAGGCACACACAGTTTTCCCCTCTTGTCTGTTTGAGATAGTTCTGCAGGAACAAAAGACAAGAAGGGAGGTTTTGGGATGGGGAAGAGAATTCACAAAGGAGACTTGGGAGGTGTAGCTGATAGGGGTCGTCTGGATAAAGAGAGGGTGAAGCAAAGGGAGAGACAGGTGCCTGGGGAACCCAGAAAGAATCACAGTGGCTCCTTGGGTCACTGAGTGATCACCATAGCCAGGTCCTGGCCTGGCTGCTCAGCAAACCTTATCTCCATTAATTCCTATACAACTTTGCAAGTCAGTTCCAACTTTATTTCCAGATGAGGAAAGTGGAGCTCAGACAGGTCAAATGATTTGTTAAACAGCTCTTAAATGGGCGCACAACTCTTAAATGACAACATAGGGGTTAATCTAGATTTTTCTGGCTTAAAGTGAGCACTTAAATTATTTATTTTATTTTGAGTATGAGTATTTTGCCTGCATGTTTGTAAGTGCACCCGTGTCATGCAATGCCCCCAGAGGCCAGAAGAGGGTATTGGATCCACTGGAAGTGGTGTTATATAGACAGTTGTTAGCCAACATGTGGTGCTGAGAACCAAACCCCAGTCCTCTACAAGAAAATAGTGCTCTTAACCTCTGAGCTGTCTCTCCAGCCCCTAAAATGAACACTTTTAATACCCCTGCCTCCCCAAATATTCAGGTCTTAGAATCACAGATGTTTTTGTCTTACCTCCTGTGTTCTTCCTCGGTCCCCTCATCCTCCCTTGGCCCCAGTCTAATAGAGCAGCCTCTTTTAGGATCACTGTTTTATGACTTTGGGGAAAGAACACAACAAACCCTGTGCTAGGTCTTAAAGGAGATGCTTGGAAGCTATACATGCCAATCTCCCTCACTTTCACTAGCCAGAAAAATGTCACATGATGAAGCCTGACTTCAGAGATTGAGAAGTATAATTTATCCTAAAGAGAAGGAACAAAAATAATAATAGGCTCTATCACAGGTTCCCTTCCATCTGTAATAAGCACTGGCTTTCCTTCTTCTGTACACAGCTTATCTCGTTCTGTGAGGGAGACACCCCAAGTCCTGAACAATTCTGTGATCACCTCTTTCCTGAGTCAGGATATGACTCTTCATCATCCAGAGACTTGCAAACTACCTAACACACACACATACACATACACACGTGCGCACACACACACACACACACACACATGGCATACATACCGTACACACCACAACACATACTGACAAACACACATATACCATATATACCACAAACACATACATACATACCACACATATACCACACACATACACATCACACCCACCACAAACACCACATACCACATACACACATTCCACAAATAACACACATACACACGCCATCCCCACCCCCCCACATATCACAAACATCATACCACATGCACATACATACCACATACCAAGGTACCACAAGCATACACATACACTACAAACACCACACACCTCAAACACATAAATAACATTCATACACAACACAAATATCACACAGCATACACACATATATACCAAACACACACATATACAGCACCCACACTCCACACATACCACAAAAACCATACATATACCACACAGCCCACATGCCACACACACCAGGAATACCATACCACATACACATACATACCACACACATTACAAGCACCACCTATCACAAACACACACATACATACCATACACACATATACCACACCACACACACATACCACCACCACACATACCACATCACACACATATACATACTACACACCACAGACACCACAAACATACATATGTTTACCATACATATATACATACCACACTCTACAGATACTGCAAATATACACATACCACACACATACACACAAATATACATTATTATTATAGGGACAGATGGAGCAAGGATAGCGTTTGGAAAAGGGAGGCTGGTTCCTAGTTCTGAAACCATGTGGGGCACATGATGCAGGCCCCTGCAGTGGCCAGTTTACTTGATTGGACTCTGCTTCCTCCTCCCAATGGTAGTTCTCCAATCACTTCTCCATGGCATTAGGCAGCACACTGTCTCTTTTATTATTCTGATAGGCTTCATCTGCACAGCGTACCTGTCTCCTCTGGGAACAGGGTTTGCAGCCTGTTTCCATCTCATAGAAAGTTGGGGGCTCAAGGATCACTTAGGTCCTTGCAAGCCTCCAGTAGTTGCTATCTCCCACAGCCACACTGGCGGCTCCTTGGGCTCTGCTTGCCTACAGCGTGGGTCGTCTTCATGTATGTGTTTCAGCTCTGTGTGTGGCTGCTCTTGGGTTTTTCTAGCCATAGCTTTCCCTCCAGACATAACCATCACTCCCTTGCTCTGCTGAGCTGCTGTGGGAGCACCATGCCCTCAGTCCCATGTTCTGCATCATTCTTTCCTAATGGCAAGGATCTCCTGGGCACGACCTAACGGGGTCTTGCTACAGGTTGAGTTTATTTCTTCTCAACAGTTTTCTGTGGGCACAATCTGTGTGATTCATACACTCTAAGCGCACAATTCAACACTTTGGTAAACTTGTCTATAACCAGAGCATTCCTACCGAAAGTTCCCTCATGTTCATTTGCAATCAGTCCTTGTTCCCATCCCTTGTCCTAGGAGGTCACTAACCTTACTAGCTATAAGAGGACCCTTTCTAGACAGCGTGTACAAACTGAACTATATAACATACAGTTTTTTTTTTTTTTGCATTCAGCTCTTTCACTTAAAATGAAGCTTTTGAGTTTCATACATGTTATAGCATGTGACTGTAGTTAATCCCTTCCCTCCACATACTGGGGATTAAACCCAAGGCTTTCTACGTGCTGGGCAGGTACTCTACTACTGAGCTACATCCCCAGCCCTCTATTTTTAATTTTTATTTTGAGACAAGGTTTCACATCATCACTCAGGCTGGTCTTCAGCTTGCAATCCTCCTGCCTCAGCCTCCCAAGTAGCTGGAACTGCAGGCCTGCACAAAGGTCAGCTTTGTGTTACTATAATAAATACCTGTGGCCAGAGAAATGGCTCAGCAGTTAAGAGCATTGGCTGTTCTTGTGGAGGACTGGGCTTTGGTTCTCAGCACCCATCTGGCAGTTAACAACCATTCATAATTCCAGTTCCAGGAGATCCAATGCCCTCTTCTGGCCTGTATGGGCATTGTATACACATGGTGCAATTACATACATGCAGAGAAAATAGACAAAAAATGCAAATAAATAAAATTTTTAAAAATTCAAAAAACGTTTGTGGGACCGGAGACATGGCTCAGCAGTAAAGAACACTGGCTGCTCTTGTAGAGGACCCAGGTCACTTGTCAGCACCCACACAGTGGCTAACAACTATCTGCAACTCCAGTACCAGAGGCCCTCTTCTGACCTCTGTGGGCACTGCACGACATGGGCGCATTTGTATAAATGCAGGGAAAACACTTATACACCTAAAATAAATAAATATTTTTAAAATATATGAGACAGTCAATTTGTACAAAGAAAAGGTTTCCTTTGGTTTATGGTTTGGTGGTTTTTAATCTGTGATCAGTGGGCCCTGTTGATTTGGGCCTGTGGTGAGGCAGTGCGTCTTGGTAGGAGCACGCAATGAAAGAGAGTTATTCATCTCATCACTAAAGAGCAAAGAGAAAACTGGGAGGGGACTGGTCCATGAACCCCTTTAAAGGCACCCTCCCTCAATGACTCAGGGGCCTCCCACAAGGCCCCACCTTCCAAAGGCTCCACTCTCTCTCAGTGGTGTCACTCTGGGTCCATGCCTTTAATACACAGACCTCTGGGGGCAGGTCTCCAAAGCAGAACTACACATGAATCATCATAAGCCATGACTGTGTTCTGTACCACCTGTACTCAAGATCCCATGTTCTGGAGTTGACTCTGTCTAGAATGTTGCTTGTCCCTAGAGAAAGAACATAGAGTCAGGCACCAGCTCCTAAGAATTCCTCTCACACCTGATTATTCATATCAGGTTAGTGGAAATATGGTCTCTTCCAGGGAAGGGCAGCAGATCCTGAAGAAGAGAGAAACAGCTGGCTATGTGGTGGCTTTTCCCATAGCCACCTAGAGCTACGGTGAGATGGGTGGTTGTTTACAGGAATCTAGGTTCTCTTGGTGGTTGGCTTCAAGCATCATGACTTTGACATAGAATCTCTGAGACCCCAGGAGAAATTTGATCAGAGGGACTCTCTTTTCGAGAGTTCATTCCCAGTTCAGTAAAAATTTTTATCCTGACTTGCAGGTTTAGTTGACCCACCATGTTTTGTCTTCCCAGCTGTCTTCTGGGGAGATATTGCTCTGGATGAAGATGATCTGAAGTTATTTCGTATCGACAAGGCTGGAGACTGGACTAAACCATCCATGGAGGAGATGAGACATGAAACTGGTAAGTACTGTTTCCCTGACCCCACAGCGGTAGCATGAGAGGCTCGGTGAGGGGTAGAGAGGCCCTATGTCTCTCACATTTGGCATGTAGTTCCTGGAACCTCTGTCTGTAGAAGAGCTGGAGGGAACACCCTTCCTTCTCTGATGGAGGCATGGATCTGGAGCCTTTAACTTAGCCTCTCTCTCTCTCTCTCTCTCTCTCTCTTTCTCTCTTTCTCTCTACTATGTATTTGTTCATGTTTGTGCATGCATGCTTACAGATTCCTGTGGAAGTGTATGTATGCATGTGGAGACCAGAGGCTGATGTCAGGTGTGTTCTTTGCTTATTCTCCACCTTATTTTTGAGGCTAGGCTGCTAGTCAATGAGCTTCACATCCCCTTCCCAGACTGGGGTTATAGATGGGTGTTGCCACATCCAGCTTTTTTTTTTTTTTTTTCACATGGATGATGGGGAATCAAACTCAAGTCCTCATGTTACCCAGAAGGTACTTTACCAACTGAGCCATTAGCCCAGCCCAATTTAGCTGATCCTTCTAAGAAAATCTCTAGTTTCCTCTGTTGGAAGATTCAGCTTGTCACCCAGTAATAGTTCTTGGGACTCTGGCCTTTGGTTTTGCTCATCTCAGACTAGAAAGAATTGCTGGGTGGGTTGGATTTAGATGATGTCTGACAGTACTCTCAACAATAATGACCAGTCTTGGTGAGATGTTTACCCATAGGATAGTGTGCACTGATTTTGATAGCCCAGATAAGTCCCTGGGTTGTCAGGGGTAGTAGACCCACCCAACCTGCATCCTGTGGTTACTGTTCTTTTTCCTCCTAGCTACCAACTTGGAGGTGAAGAGACTGATCCCCCAGGCTCTCCTTACCTCCCTGCACACTAGGCTCAGTGTGGCTTTTGTGGCATCTTTGTCTTTGGCCTTGTGGCATTTTCATCCTAGAAGCAGTACAGGGGACTGAGTATGGGATCTGGTGTCTTCACATGGCAGGTGACAGTTTGTCATTTGGTGACTAAGGTCAAAGATCCCTGTGAACTTTCTCACCCATCCTCCTTTTTCTTGAAGCTGTTTTAAGCATTTATCCCAGCCCAAGTTCAATACTGGTGAGAGAAAGAGAAAACAGCACAACCCCATGCCTTCAAGGAGATCACTACTTCAGGCATACTAGGGTAGATCTGGTTCAGTTTTCCTATCAGTAAAATGAGGGTGAAGCCAGTACTCATCCCATAGAGGTTTCAGGGTTGAAACTAGCTCAGCATCTAGCACATAAGCAAGAACTGGGAGATATTTATTGGTGCACTGGGAAGAGAGAAGAGTGAGGGTTGAAGCCTTTAGGTATCACATGACTAGCACTCTCATCTTGTGTCATAAAGGAGAGCTAGGAATCCTGGGTGAAAGAGATTTCAGGTGGAGGGGAAGCCAGGTACATGGGCAGGGAACACAAGAAGGGCTGTTGGTGGGGCAGAAGTAAGGTGTGGTCATGGAGGGTGGCCCTCTGCATAGGCTGTGACCAGAACTGCATCTGGAAAGAGCAAGTGTGACAGATGGCAGACAAGTCCTTCACCATCTGCCCTGTGAGCATGGGCTTTACCTGGGCCACAGGGGTCCTTCCCAAAGTTTCTTAATAAGATTATGACTTGTTAGAGCTACAGAAATAGCTCAGTGGTTAAGAGCACTAGCTGCTCTTGCAGAGGACCCAGGGGTTCAGTTCTCAGCACTCACATGGCAGCTAACAGCCAGTTAATTACCAATTAGTAACTCCAGTTCCAGGGGATCTGATGCCCTCTTCTGACCTTTGTGGACATTGTACTACATGGGTGCACTTACATACATGGAGGCAATATACTCACATATACATAAAATAAAAATAATAATTAAGAAAATTAAATATTTTTAGAAGATTGTAAGTTGCTAAGCTTGGACTTGGGAGTTTCTTGGTAGAGACCTCTAACCCTCTACTCTCCATAGTTCATTAACTGAGGATGTTGAGTCCTGACTGGGCATGTAGGCAGCTGTCACACTGATGGTTGGTAGTGATGGCACAGGGTGCACCCTTGATGATGTATTTGGTGATATCAGGAATATCTCTGAAACCTGGAGAGGGGAGAATGAGATGTGTCCTGAGTCTGAGTGACTCCTAGGGTGTATGAAGAAAACGAACAGTTAGAGCAATTGGTTGCAAAACTCCCCACTGGGATTGACAGATGAAGGGCCTAGGTTGTCAGCAGATCAGAGGACCATTGCCATTGCCAGGGGCAGTGAGGAGCCATTAGGCAGGCACATCAGACTTCCATGGTATCTGAGTCTATGACTAGCCTGGGATTTGTACAGCCTCTTCTAGGTGGCTTGAAAAGCCAATTGGGTTGTTAAATGAAGATTTGAATTATTTTCTCTAACAGTGTATCTGCAGCTCCAGCATAAGGAAGCACCTTTTCATGATTCTACCACCCCATCTAGTTACATTCTTCCTCAACTCTCAGTGGAATCTGTAAAGAGGTTAAACTTTTTTTTTTTGCAATGTTATTTAAAACTAATGAACATCATGTATCTCAAGCATATACTGTGATGAACTCACATGTGTGTCTGCCCACGTAACCACCACCCAAGTGGTACATTGCCATGTATGTTCCACAACCCAGAGAACCCTCCCCCGCCCATGCTGGCTAATTTTTGTCAACTTGACACAAACTAGAGACACCTAGAAAGAGGGAACCTCTATTGAGGAATTTCCTCCATCAAATTGACCTTGGCCATGTCTATGAGGCATTTTCTTAATTGCTAATTAATGTAGGAGAGCCCAGTCCATTGTGGGTAGTGCCATCCCTAGGCAGGCAGGCCTGGGCTGTATAAAAAATGTAACTGAGTAAACCAGAGGGAGCAAGCCAATAAGCAGCATTCCTCCATGGTCTCAGCTCCTGACTCCAGGTACCTGCCTTGGCTTTCTTCCATAATCGACTGTCACTTGGAAGTGTAAGATGAAACAAGCCCTTTCCTTCCCAAGTTGCTTTTTAGTTATGGTGTTTATCACAACAGAAATAAAACTAGAAGACTCCTGTATTCCCTTTGCAGTCAGTGCTTGTCCCAGAGTCTCCACAAGTCTGATCTTTAATCATCACTGACTTATTTTACCTGTGCAGTTGGGACCCGCAGTGCGTGTGTCCTATTTATTTCTCCATTGCTGTGACAAAACACTCTGACCAATACCAACTTGGGGAGGAAAGGGTTTATTTAGCTTACTTATCCCAGGTCACAGTTCATCTGGGAGCCCAAGGTAGGAACTCAGGGTAGGAACCTGGAGACAGGAGCTGGAGCACAGACCATGGAGGAATGCTGCCTACTGGCTTGCTCCCCTGGCTCCTGCTCATCCTGCTTTCTTATACAATACAGGACCACCTGCCCAGGGGTGGCACCACCCACAGTGGGCTGGGCCCTCCCACATCACTCAACAATCAAGAAGATGCCCCACAGACATGGCCACTGGCCAGTCCAATGGAGGCAATTCCCCAGTTGAGGCTCCCTCAACCCAGGTGTGTCAAGTTGACACTAAAGCTATCCAGCACACTATCCTACTGTGCTATAGAATTAGAACTTCATCCTCTTACCTTTCCAATTCTTGTCCCCAAGATATGATGTTAACATTAATGTCACAACATAAGACAGTACAACCTTAAAAACCTCACAGTCCTTAGAAAATCCAAACACTTAAAAGTCCATCGTCTCTTAAAAGTCTCTTAACTGTGGGTGGGCTTCTGTAAAATCCAAAACAAGTACTGTCTTATTTCAAAGGGAAGAATTGGGCACACCTAAGTAAAACCAAAGTCCAGCAAAGTAGCTCAAGGTTGGACATCTAGGATTCACTCATGATCTTCTGGGCCCCAAAGGGTTCTGGAAGCTCCACTTCTCTAACTCTGCCATCCACAGCACACACAGCTCATCTCACAGACCCAGGCCAGCTCCATTCCACACCTGCTGGTGCTCTTGGTGGTTGTCCCACAGTCTTGGCATCTCCAAAGCCTGGGGTCTCCAATGAAACTGAGGCTGCACCCTCAACAATGGCCTCTTCTGGCCTCTCGGGGTGCAACACATCTGATTCTCTCCATGACCCCTTCAATCCTGGGGTCTTCATTGCAACTGAGGCTGCACTTTCACCCATGGCCTTTCCTGGTCTCTGCATGCCAAGCCTCAGCTATTCTCTGTGACCCCTTCATGCTTTCAACACCAGAACCATGCAGGAGACTCTTACACATTACCAAGTCCTGCTTCCAGCTTGAGATGGAGACTCAGGTTCCCTCTGTGTGCTGACCCTGAGGAAATACCTCCCAGACTTCACCACAATGATGCTGGTCTCTTGTTACTTACAGTTGATTTTTCAGCTCCAGCTAACCAGCATCAATTGTCCCAGCACAGCAAAGGTTTTACTTCAGGTTCTGGTCTCTTCTTAATCACAGCCAATTCTTCAGCCCAGTTGACCAGAACCCACAGATTCTCAATTCAAAATATCACACAAAAGCCCTGATAATCTCTGCTTCCCTTTGAAGCTTCACAAGCCAGGCCTCCATTGTTCACAACTCTTTCAGCATAACTGTTCCAAGCTCCACAGCAACAAACCCTAAGAACTCAATGGCTTTTCCAGCTGAGAGTTCCAAATGCTGCCACAGTCCTCCCCCAAACACCAAGGTCAGATCTGTCACAGCAATACCTCACTCCTGGTACCAATTTCTGTTAATTTGTTTCTCCATTGTTGTGACAAAACACTCTGACAAATATCAACTTGGGGAGGAAAGGGTTTATTTAGCTTATATATCGCAGGTCATAGCTCATCCTGGAGCCCAAGGTAGGAACTCAGGGCAGGAACCTGGAGGCAGGAACTGGAGCACAGGCCATGGAGGATTACTGCTTACTGGCTTGCTCCCCTGGCCCCTGCTCAGCCTGCTTTCTTATGCAACACAGGCCCACCTGCCCAGGGGTGGTACAACCCACAGTGGGCTGGGCCCTCCCGCAT